CTGCTGTGCAGCATGCACCGGAGAAGACAAAGACCAGCGACAATTTCACGCCGCCTCTGTTGGTACGCCGAAACGGGGTCGTGTGTTGGCGAGTCGAGGCTGTCTGTGAGCATGTCGATATTCTGCGCTGGTTTCGTGAAGTCGGCAGCTCTCGCTTCCCATCAGTTGTGGCGCTTGCTCGGATTTGGTTGGGAAGAGCCCCATCCGACGCGTTTCAGGAACACGTTTTCTCTACCGGTGGGATCGTAATGAGCAATCGGTGTACTCGGACGGATAACTACCGAGCGGAGATGCAAGTACTGCTGAAGCACAACCAGAACGTGATCAAGCATATCGAGACCAGCGATGCCGAAAATGTGGCTCTGTAGGTATCTTTAGCTGCTGGTGAGTAGCTGGTGAACATCTTGGTGGTCGACGGCCGTCGACCACCAAGATCAACAGTAGTAATACTCCACTAATATACCAGCACTATCACTGAGACCAGTCAGTCAAGTCGGTAATACTATTATGTTATTAGGAGCTAATTATGTGGTGGGTATTACTGAATTACATTTGGTAAAATAAAACGGAAACACTGGAGCCCAGGATTACAACAATAGATTTTCATCTGGATTTATACAGATTTATCATCCGGATTTATCCAGGACCGAAACTTCCAGTCGGTAACGAATTTTATTTTTCATTCGCTGCCTATGAAACATGCTCACTCAGATCCTGAAACTATCAGCCCGATGGCAAGCGGCGCGCGAGGAACGCGAGGAAGGGCGGCGCGACCTGGACCAGGTTCGTGGAGGTCCTCGCCACGTACGCGCTCTTCACCTCGTACGCGCGCTAGTGCTAACACTCGAACGACCGTTACGGCGACGATCAAGGAAGCCCAAGCGTCTGATCCCGGAGCTTTTCCTGACAAGACCGAGGTTGCGGCCACCGCCAACGACGCCGCAGGCATGGAGCAGGCCGCGGATGCTGGTGAAGCGTCTGTTGTCGAGCAGCCGGGCACTCACGACGACGTCGCAGGCGTGGAGCAGGTTGCGGATGCTGGTGAAGCGTATGTTGTCGAGCAGCCGGGCACTCACGACGACGTCGCAGGCGTGGAGCAGGCCGCGGATGCTGGTGGAGCGTCTATTGTCGAGCAGGGTGTTGGCATCACTGTGGTGGGCGACGCAGCCGAAATGAGTGACTGCAAAGAGGCTGGGGGCGTGTTAGTTGAGGACATCCATTTGAACGACGAGGGCGGAAGCGAATACGGTGATGCGGAGCATGAGGCAAGCCATGCTGGGGTTCAAAATTCGGGTGGCGAAGATCGACCTATTCAGGATTCTGTCCAGGATTTCGTCCAGTATTTCGAGTCGGACCATGCCAGAAGCGCTGGGTCGTCTTCTCAGTCGGAGGCAAGCAAGGTTACGGTTCTAGCTCCGCAAACGTGGCACATCGACTGGAAGGCGTGGCAGGTATACTTTGACGAGTACTGTGAAGAGACGATGCAAGTGATCTCTATACTCGAAACCATGGGTCGTGCAGAGCGTAACAGACGGCTCAAGAAGACGAAGAAAGGGGTTAATGAGGCGTTACTGATCCCAGAAGGCCTTGATCCGTATCAGAGGACCTACATCTGTACGCACGGGTGGCCACAGAGGAAGCCTCGAGGCTCGGGAAAGCGTCCACGTAAGCACATCCGCGAGATGGACTGTCCTTTCCGGTTTGTGGTGCAGTGGCAGCTGCACAAGGGCGAGTGGAAGCTAGGTGTGAAATTGGGGAGGTTCTCTCACAACCATTCGGTCTGTAGCGATACATACGCGACGTACCCGTGTGCCCGCGGTGTTAGTGACGTTGTGGTTGGAGCACGAGTGGAGGGTATGGTGGCCGTCGGTGCTAAACGCTCCAAAATCTACGACTACCTGCTCGAGCATGACCAGAACGTGATCAAGGCCGACGTGGACAACATGGTGCGGAGTTTTGCTTCGTCGGTGTCATCCCTGGACGACAACGATGCTACAGCAGCCCAAGTTGACGCTCTAGCTGCTGCAGACAAAATGAGCTGTACACGTATTGCTGAGACCGCGACTGGAGAGACTGGAGTTCTATCGATGTCTACAGCGTTCATGCGTCAGAATTTCAGCCGTTTTGGTGAGTTCCTGCTAGTGGACTGTACACACAAAACGAATCGGTACGCAGTCTGTTTCCTGAGAT